TGTAACGATGGCAATGATGGTGCTATGCGCCCGCCTCCTGCTATTCGGACGACCGAATGTCAAAGCGATTGCGTCGCCGTCGACGCTGAGGCCGCGTGTGGCCTGCTCGAGACGGCGCAGGCTGGCGCCGGCCGCGCGGCCGCACTTGCGCTGAAAGACGACGAGGCCGCTTGCGGTTGCAGGGGGGGGGGGGGGGGGGGGGGTGGGGTGGGGGGGGGGGGGGGAGGGGGGGGGGGGGGGGGGGGGGGGGGGGGCATGGCTCTACGTGGATAGATCAGTTCTGCAGCTCTGCTACAATGGGTGCCATCAGCTTTGGTCGAACAAACTACGTTAACCACTGCAGCCTCGCATCTGCCCAGGGCATCAGCTGCGTGGAGTGCCCTGTCACTCTGGCCTACTCGTGGGAGCTGGATTGCGCGTCGGGCCGAACGTTGCCTGTTTCGGGGCAGAGGGCTTCGGCTTTTCAACGTGTTAGGTGCTGTTTGTCGGGTTGGGGGGGCGGGGGGGGGCGAGGGGGGGGTGGGGGCGAGGTCCCATCCAACTCCCCTTCACCCCCCCCCGTCCTCCTCGCCATCATTCTCCTCATCCTCTTCCGGGGCCTTCTGCGGGGGGCGTGAAAACATGATTGGAGAATGACGCGCGCCTCTTGGCAATCAGAGTGGCGCGCGCCTCCTCCACGCTCAGAGTGGCGCAAGCCTCCTGGCGATGATGATAGCGCAGATCACGAGATCCTTCCCCAATCAGAGTGGCGCAAGCCTCCCGGCAATCATTTTCTGGCGCCCTTGAAGATGCTGGCGCGTTTCCGCCCTGGCAGCACTTCCTGCCATGGCGCGAGCTCACGGACGACGACGCAGCCATGGGCGACGCTATCGTAACATTAGCTGCGAGGAACAAGTTTGAGCGCGTGGCCTCCTACAGGCAGCTGCGGGAAATATTGCATCAGCTTCGCCTGCTTCCAGGGCGCGCCCTAGACGAGTTCGACTCGCCTGGCGCTGCGAATGTGAGGCCGGCCGACCTGACCGAGTGTCGCAGTGTTGTTCCCGACGTGATGAGCGGCGCTGGTATGCATTGTAGACAGGGCGTCTGGAGAGTGGCTTGCGGATTTGCCCGCCGATTGTACGGTCGCTCCGCTTCTGGCGTTGATGCTTGACCGAGGCTCGATCGGGACTGCAGGGGCAGCGTTCGCAATGTTCCACCAGGGCAAGACGAGCCACCCCAGGTACGATAATATCCACAGGGTCATCAGAGACGTGAAGAACGCAGAGGAACCTTGTATGTATTCAAATTGTATGGTGTGCAAGATGTGGTCAGCCTACCTGTGCGGCGCGAACAGTAGGCCATTCAATAGCGGAGCCAATTTCACAATACATAAAAGCTTGCGGGACGTATTCCCACAAACGTCTGACATCGATTTTCCAGTGTCCAGGAAATACTTGCATTGCACTGCCGGCGATTGGAACATGCCATGTGGCAGCAGGGCGGAGATGCAAGCCAGATTCGCCGACGCACTGCAGATGGATTCATTCACTCACGCGACGAGCCAACCGAAGCATGCCGACTGGCTTGCATGGAACAAAGCCGCACATGAACAAATCCCTGAGTTCTGGGGCGCCAAGATGGTGCTGGAGCCACAACTCGACGACGTCGATCCCGACTTGCCTGGCGTCGATCCCGACTCGACGACAGGATAGAGGTGGCCTGCGTTTAGCTTGCAGGCTCATGGCGGTATCGATGCACGAAATCGTGAAAATAATGGCAGGGGCGTGGGCGCGCCGTTTCCGCAGTCATATACGCACGACCGCTGGCAATCGCTAGCGAGGTGGTTGCGGCAGGCCGTTCAGATTGACAAGTCGGCTTGCAATCAACTTGTTCGCCGTGCTGCAACCGCGACATTTGCAGATGCATAGGGCACGCGCGTGCGTGGCCGTGGACGCTGCGCGCCCTTTTTTTACAGGTTGCTGAGAATCCATGCTGGGACTGGCAAGCAGAGCAGATTGCCGCGATCAAGACGCCGAACCACGCGTTCACTTGCATGGTGAGCTTGGCCAATGGCGGGTGGCAGTTCCAGGACCACGCGTGGAACGCAGTTCGCGCTACTCTCTGCGACAGTGGCAATGTGAAGTTCATGGGCGTACACCCGGGGGGGGGCGACGTGGCCGCGAAGGCATCATCGCTGACGCTGCATATTGTCCAGAACAGAATGTGGACCAAGCCTGTCTCCTGATCGCCATGCAACTGTGGCGTCAACATCCGCGGGGGTCGCCGACGGAGCCTGCGCGTCCATGAATGCGGACCATCAAAATCTTTTGCTTCTGGAGGATGTTCGGCGCACTAATACAGCAGCGCAGGCGCTGTGGAACGACTTGGCCCCGGTTGCACATGAGAAGCCTGTCGGGGCGTTGTTTCTATTCTTCTGTCGCGACAGGTACGGCCGCCGGTCATTCGCCGGGGGGCATTTGCTGAGAGGCATGCTTCGGGCAATGGCGGACAGCGAAAGCTGCGGAGACGCCCGGGGCGCGCTGCGGCTGGGCGCTCGGGCGAAGTCAAACAAGAAGGCTTCAGTGCGACAGGCTTCGGCATGTAGTCAGCGCAAGGGGAGTTTTCGAGGCGCGCGGGGTGCCTCGCAAACCAGGCGTGGACAAGCGAGATTTCATCCGTGCGTTCAGGGTTCTGAATAGAACAATCTATGG